CTCCCTGCTCCTCCCTCCCCCTCTGCACGGTGGGCCTCCTGGGGACGTGGGGACATGGACGGGGGTGAGCTCCCCCAGCCTGTCCACTTCCTTTGTCCCCATCCTGATTGCACAGGGAAGCAGCCAGGTCCTGCAGCAGCTGGAGACAGAGTCTGACAGTTCGTGTGACCAACAAGGATGGCAGGGGTGGGTGGCTCGAAGCCCAGTGCCCTCCTGCATGGTATGGTCATAGCCAGCCGCTCTGCAATGCTCATTTCTCAGCCTAATGCTGGAAAGCATGGGGAGGATGAGCCTTGCAAGCCCAGCAGTGCTCTGGTGATACCCACCAACACTGACCCCCACACAGCTCCCTGCTTTGCCAAAAGCTGCGACTTCTCGTTCCCACCTGTGCCATGCCCTGGGACAGAGCAGGCAGCTGCCAGCACTGCTGCCAGCCTGGCACCCCTCGGCTCCTGGTGCCAGCAGCTCAGAGCCTCCCACCCTACAGGACAACGCAGGGTGCTGACATGGTCTAGCCCTTAGAGCGGGGCAGGGAACTGCAAATCCCCCACATCTGTCCCCCAAGGCAGACAGGACAGGGTACCCACACCGCCATGCCACGGCCTCCCTTGCCCACCTGCCACGGGCAAGCCCTAGTGCCATGCGAGAGCTGCAGACATGCAGGGTGCAGCCATGCAGAGCGGAGCATGCAGCACCGGCGAGGGCTCGGTGGGGCTTTACCTGCCACTGATGTCTCCTCGGGCCATGGCAGCATGGCGGGCAAGAAGGGGGGGGGTGAGCAGAAACACCGGACCGTGTCCCTGGCTGAAGGGCCAGGTGCTGCGGGCTGGCGGCACAGCCAGGGGTGGCCTGGCAGGACCACCGAGGCTGGCAACACCCTGAGCTCACCTGGCAGGGCCCGGTGCTCCGGAGGAGATGGAGAAATCTCTGCCTGCGTGGCAGCCACTCGCTCCCCTCCTCCAGAGCCCATCACTGAACCTCTTGCCCCGGGCACGCAGCAGCCCCCAGCTCTGGGGTGCAGGGTGGGTGGCTCTGGCCCTGGGGAGCCCAGCTCAGCCCCAGTGGGAGCTGTGTTGGTCCCAAATGCAGTTTTTTCCCCTCAGCACCCACCCAGACACGGGACTACCAGCAGCCCCATTGCTCCCAACCTTCCCAGTTGGGCTGACCACTGGGCCGCAGCATCTCCCTACCTGGCTCTCCACCAGCATGGCCATGTCCATGAACATGTCATGCAGCTCTCGGATGCTGTTCTCCAGTTTGATGATCTCGCTGTGCCGTGTCTCAATCTCATTCAGTGCCTGCTTGGTGATGTTTGAATCCATAATGATCTGCAAGAAGACAGGGCCACTGAGCACCATGCTCAGCCCCTCAGATGCTGAGATTAGGGACACCAAAAGAGGGAAGAACAGGAGCCCTGGAGCCCCCCCAGTCACTCCATCCAGGGATTTTGCAGCAAACCCCCAGCCCGCCCTCTGGCCAGGACAGAGCCCCTGCTCAGGCAGCATCCTCAGGCCAGACCCAAGCACCCAGGTCCCACCTCCTGCATGGGCTGTGCTCATCACTCCTGTACTGGGGCAGCACATCCACTAGCCAACCCCCTCCAAGATGAAGGGGGTGCCTTGGCTTTAGCATGTGCCAGTGCTTACCCCAGAAGAGAAGATGGCCGGGTTGCCGCTCTCCAGCATGTCCTCCAGCTCCTCGCTTGTGGTGGTCCTGCCAGCTGCAAGTGACAAAACATGGCTCAGCCATGAGCCTCCTGTCCCAGCCACGGGTCCCACAGCCCTACCGCAGGGCTCTGCTGGCTCCACGGCATCTCCCATGAGTGAAGCGAGGCAAAGCTTCCAGCCCTGAGACCACACCAGTCAGTTCGAGGGGCTGCCATCCTACAGCCCGGCTCTGTACCAGCCCTGTGACCCCCTCTTTTTAAGGGAGTCAAGCTGCCAGCTTGGCCCAGGAAAGCTCATCTGCCCCTCCTGGTCAAGCTGCCCATTCCTGCAGGGCAAGGAGTAGTGCCAAAGGACCAGGAGCCACCAGCACCCAGCTAGTGGCCTGTGAAGGGGGAGGGATGGAAAGCAGCAAGCCAAGAGCAAAGATGCTCTTGGTGGATGCCATCCTGGGCCAATTCAAGGCCACGAGGACACTGCTTAGCAGCGCTCACTGGCCTGGCAGGCACTGCTGCAGTAGCTGGGCTGCCGGAGTTTTAGCCCTGCAGCTGCGTAACACAAACCAGGCTCTGTCCTTCCCCCTGTGACACAGCCCTCCTCCTTGGCCCCACGGTGGTACCTTCAGGCCCACAGCTTCTTTGGGAGCAATTCACCCATTGTGCACGGTCACCTTCCCCTCCACATGGACACACTCCACACTGCTAGAGAGAATCACAGAACCGGTTTGGTTGGAAGAGACCTCTGGGATCACCGAGTCCAACCTTTGCCCTAACACCCCCATGTCAACCAGACCATGGCACTAAGTGCCACCTCCAGTCTTTTCTTAAACACCTCCAGGGATGGGGACTCCACCACCTCCCTGGGCAGCCCGTTCCAATGCCTAACGACCCTTTCAGTGAAGAAATTCTTCCTAACATCCAATCTAAACCTCCCCTGGTGCAACTTGAGGCCATTTCCTCTCGTCCTATCGCCAGTTACTTGGGAGAAGAGGCCGATCACTCTCTGGGTTACACTGATCCTCCACCATGAATTGCGGTGCGTTCTTCAGGCTAACAGCCAGGTAGGACCTGTGGAATTACAGTGCTTTTGCTGGGACTGCCCAGTGGAGTTGGGTGGGCGAGCAGGTCGCCTGAAGCGAGGGCAGGAGACTTCCCACCGGTGTGATGAGGAGCGAACGGGGGCAGATGAGCAGGAGCAGCTAACGAGGCAACTTTACCAAGCCCAATGGACCCAAAACCAGCAGAAGAGCAGGCAGGGAAGGGCTGAGGTCTGGTATGGTTCTCCTCTGTGACACATTGCCTGCAGGCTCTGTCAGTGGTACCAAAAGGGACAATAACATCCTCCAGGATGAGTCCAGGGCACGTCAATGGGGGAATGGAGCAGAGGTGGCCGGGACAGACCACAGGACACTGCTCCCTGCTTCCAGCAGTGCCGGACCAGAGGCTTAGACCAGAGAGGGGCCTGAAACCTTGAACTCGGTCCAGACCTTCACCGCAAGTATGTCAGTGCCCCAAGGAGTACCCTGCCCACCCAGCCATGCCTGGCCACCACCCCACAGGCATCGAGCATGATGCCACCCTGCCTGGGGAGTTCCTCCAACAAGGACATCTCCACATTTCATTACATGTCTCCCTCTTTGCAAGGTCCTGCACCTGGGTCGGAGCAATCCCCAGTACCAGCACAGACTGGGGGATGGATGGATGGATGGATGGATGGAGAGCAACCCTGTGGAGAAGGACCAGGGGATACTGGTGGGTGACAGATGGGACATGAGCTGGCAATGTGCGCTTGCAGCCCAGAAAGCCAAGCGTCTCCTGGGCTGCATCACCAGCAGCGTGGCCAGCAGGTCGAGGGCGGGG